CATATATATATATATATATATATATATATATATATATAGTAATAAAGAAAAAAAACTTTGTGTTAAAAATACATTAAAAAGTTATTCATACAGACAATTACTTGAATACACCTCTCCTGTGAAGGGCATGTTTACATTGTTTATAGGCTATTATTTGTAATTATTTAAAATAAAAAAATATGTCTAGATGATGTAACCATACAGAGATATCTATATATATTTACATAATATATTATTTATTTATTTACTTGTTTGATTGTTGATATTTTGTTAGCCACATCCATGTGGTGAAACCAACATGCATCCGTTTTGTCGTCATTTGACAAAATAAATAAATACATACATACATACATAAAAGATATCACAAAAACATAGACTGTGGCATGAACTTTTATTTATTTGTTTATTTTTAGAAATAATTATCAATTATTGTGTATTTAAGGTATACATCTTTTTGCTAGTTTTTACTTTTAGACATTGGAGCCAATAAATCAACACTATTTATACAAAATGGTAAACTTTTTTTTTTCTCTTCAAAAATTTGTAAAACCAAAATTATAACAAATGGGACATTTATGCATTTTTAAGTAGATATCCTTTCCATCTTTTCTGAAATCTGTATTTTTCTTTTGTGCGAGACGCGAGTGCAACAGTAATAGATGTCCGTCTAGAAAATGCCTGAAATATGCGTTAGAACGGCTTGGTTTCGGTTTTTATGTAAATATCTTCTCCGCATTGATGTTTTCCGCTATATTTTTAATATTTTCAACTGGATAGGCTAACAAAAACATTATAATGCAAAGACACTTACATCGTCATCGCATCTTGTGCGCCGTTTTTTTTTTGACAGCCCTATTCTACTCATTTATCGTGGACAACCAGAGTACAGCAGCGGCTCGAAAGTGCGGCTGCCGACGGCGTGTCGATGATGCCCCTGTTCGTGGTGCTGAAATCCCCCCGCGCTCTTCCTCCCTCCCTCCTTTCCTCTCTGTCCCTCCCTCCCTCTCTCTCTCTCTCTCTCTGCTCCTCTCTCACACGCACAAAATCCTCTGTCATGGCGTCTTCCAACAATGTTACTCCCACCAACTGTAGCTGGTGGCCCATATCAGCTATGGATGAAGATGGCAAAATCACAGACGGAGAGGAGAGTCACGAGCCCACGATAGAACACAAGCCATTCTCCAAAGACAGGCTCGTTCTGTATCACTGGACTCAGTCCTTCAGCTCTCAAAAGGTAAGAAAACACAGCATGAAAATGGTGGGTGAATCTATAGCTACTATGCAGTGGGACAAATAATGCCAGTCACATAATATAGCGCTTTCTCTGGATGGATGCGTGTTTAATTGGCCTTACCTGTCTGTTCTGTTGCGTCCTTTATGAAGACATTACGACCCCTCAGCAGAAGATGGAACATTTTGAATTGACTAACGTTAGCTTCAAGTCCACTCCAGCCCAACATCATCGATCACTTTATGCATAGTGTCCTGTCTGTTCTGTTGCGTCCTTTATGAAGACATTACGACCCCTCAGCAGAAGATGGAACATTTTGAATTGACTAACGTTAGCTTCAAGTCCACTGCAGCCCAACATCATCGATCACTTTTATGCATAGTGTCTATGAGATGGAGTTGGGAACAAATAAATAGCAATTTATAACGGGTATAAGGCTATCATTGTAGAGTTGTGTGTTGCTTTGCTCTGGAGGATGATGGCACTCTAAATTATTCATTAAAATAAGGTAGCTTTGTGAAAAACAAACGGTGATTTCGTATTCTGCTGTCAATTGCTTCGTGCACATTTCAGCCAGTGTCATTCCACGAAAAAAAATGCCTTTTGTGTACCTCATGAATGTGTAAATAATGACTTTAACAATTAAAACTGACACCAACTTTTACTATGTGTTATTATATCAGATAATCAGATATATTTCAACGTTAATGTAAGTTTTGAATGGCCATATACGTATATATATATATTCTTAACAGCTGGCCATTCAAAATATTCTCTTTAAGTAAACACAATGTGCTGTTTAGCTTCATGCCAAAGTGTCAGAGCTCAGAATGTTCTTACGTTGTATTTATAGTTACTATATGTATAGTTGCTATAGTTACTGCAGTAGACCTTAGAGAGTATGTATACAAACAGGCATTTTACACCTTGCATATTGAGTACAAAATGAATGAGAGTCACATTGGTTATTACTGCTTAGAGCCAAATTATGAACAAGAAGAAAATTAGACCTACAAGCCATAAAAATGTCTAACAGCTGGCCAGCCAGACATTTAATTAAAACTAGATTGCTTTCAAAGCTCACATTAACACTGAAATTGATTTTGCTTTTATTTTGCATTTTTTAGTTGAATACTTTTTTGTTACAGTTTATATTATCAGCAAAGTATATTATTCAAAATTGAAAGCTGTACTGCTAATTTAAAAATTCCCTAGTAGCCTATAATGACAGAATTTTCTTTTAAAGTCCAAAACAGTGTAATTTTATATAATTGAGATACTATTAGAGTTTTCATTAAGTTTTAATTTTGCTGTTTGTTTTTGTCATTTTAGTAGTTTTTTTTTTACGATTTGTCTATATAGTTTTTTTTATTATTGTTTATTTCAGTTTTAGTTATTTTAGTACATCAAGTTAAGCTAAATTAAAATGAGAAGCTGAAATAAAATGCTTTTTTATATGTCATGTTATTTGAGTTAACATTTACTATATTTCAAGTAATGAAAATGTTATTGTTATTATTATTATGGTTTCAGTTTTAGTTTTAGTTAACTATAATAACCCTTGTATAAAATCCTAAAGCTCTCAGAGTCTCGAAGCAGTATGATGTGTGTGTGTGTGTGTGTGTGTGTGTGTGTGTGTGTGTGTGTGATCTAGAAAGGGTTGCTGTGTGAAGAACGGGATGTCAGTCTGCCTCTCACTGAGCACAAGGAGCCTTGGTTTATGAGGCTCAACCTAGGGGAGGAAGTGCCGGTTTTCATCCATGGAGACACGATTGTCAGTGACTACAACCAAATCATTGATTATATAGAGACCAACTTTATCGGAGGTATGGCTGGCATTAATCAAACCACTTACTCATGACTATATAAATACACTTGCTTGTTACTGTACCAGCTCTTTGGTATGCATTATGATTTTTTAAATGTGTGTATATATATAAGTAGGGATGCACCGATACTTTGACTGTATCTATTTGATAAATGAAGTTAACCAACTAACATTATACATACTCTTTTGGTTTCTGTACCCAATATTTAAAAAATTTACAAATGCAATAAAAATATTGGTATCGGTACTCGGTATCGGCAAGTACCAAAAACAAAAGTATCGGTATCGGGCGAGTACTGGAAAAAGTGGTATCGGTGCATCCCTATTATAAGTAAAGTAAAGATATAGTAAAGATTTTTTTTTTGTACAAAAATAAAGGTAACACTTTATTTTAAGGACCAGTTCTCACTATTAACTAGTTGCTTATTAGCATGCATATTATTAGAATATTAGCATTTTATTAGTACTTATAAAGCACATATTAATGCCTTTTTCTGCACGACCATATTTTAGATCCCTTAATACTACCTCATACCTAAACTGAACAACTACCTTACTAATTATTAATAAGCAGCAAATTAAGAGTTTGTTCAGGGAAAACTCTTAATAGTGAATATGTGTTCCCTATTCTAAAGTATTACCTAAATAAATAATTAGTGCTGAATGGCAAATATGTACCAAGAATTTGACAGAAAAAAACAAACAAACTACTTTAAGAACAAATCAATTTATTCTCTAACAAAATGTATGTGAAAACTTGTGAAATATACTTTTGGAAATTCTACAATCCCAAATTGAGCAATCATTATCATTTGTCCCTTATAACTGCTTTTAAAAGCAGAGCTCAGTCAATTATGCACTCTTCTTCTTGGCCTTTCTGTATGACTGTGTTCATTTAAAAAAAAAAAAAACATACATCATAATTATGTATGCTTAAACACAGTTATATATACTATAAACTTTTTGAAGTAAATAAATAATTGCAGTATTATAATCAATAAAAAATCCCAATGAGGAAATACATTACAGGAATTCCATGGTGGCAATACTTACATTTTCTCAATCTACTGTAAAACTATGTTAGATCTTTATCATCTTTCTTTTTTTATGTTTCAAGACAACATAAATTATATGTAGTGCAATTATATGTTGACATACCAAGGGTTATTATTGTAAATTGAAACTATTTCAGCTAGTTGCCAAGGCAACATTTCTCATTTTAATTTAGTTTAACTTGATGTACTAAAATAACTTAAACTGAAATAAAAAGTAATAAAAACTATATGTACATATAAAAAACAAAAACTACTAAAAATGACAAAAACAACAAAATTACTAAAATTTTAAATAGAAATAATAAAAGCTATAATAGTATCTCAATGATACTAAAATAACACTGGCAACATCATGTCATAGAGTGTTAAAGATAACTATATTTGTTTTGTCCATAGCCCTGTGTAAGCAATACAAATGCTAAATCACAATCAGTGTAGTGCACTATATTTTCTCTCACACGGCTGCATGGCTGTGTGTCATTGTGAATGTCTTCGCAGTTTGAGTGTGGGGGTGTTCTCACTGAAGCTCGTCTCTGATCCAAGATCACTCACTCATTTAAGTGATAAGAGCTCAGCTGAGCATGATCACTCAAGCTCAATGAAAGAGATCGAAGCAGACACTTCTGAACTATCTTTTACATTTTAGAGTGTCCAGACACAAATTTATCAGTAATATAGTAATATATTTGATGCATCAATTTGATATGAAACTCGGTTTGCATTTTGAGCACTGACTATTGTTTCAATGTAAGATTTTCAGATTTTGATTTTGAAATGTGTATATATATATATATATATATATATAAAGGAAATTGTTTAAAAATTAAGTTTAAACTAAGTCTGTATGTTAAATGGTTTAGGGCTAAAGTAAATGAAAAATGTAATATTTAGTGTTGGAAGCTGCACGGCGAACATTAAAATAAAGCGTAATTCATTCAGATGACTCTGAATGCATAAAAACCATGTAAACGTGTAAAAATGTGCTTGACAAATTTACTGTACGATTTGCTATTTGCTTGTGTTGTGAATGGTGTTAATGAGTTTATGTCCTAAAGAACAAATTGTGAAAATGCTTGTTCACACGTGTTATGCTACAGGCCAACCCAATTTACAATCGCCATCCACAGCTTTCATTTATATTTTATAATGAGACCTGGTAGATTTTCATGATGTTTGTGCCTTGGTGGTGTGCCAGGGTAACAGAGAGATGTTTGATCCTGTATTTATCGGATGAATTGATCATGGAGAGCTGCAGGTCAGCATGCCGGAGGTGCAGAGCAGTGTAAAATGGGATACCTCTTTGTACCATCCTCTATCTACCCCACACTATAGGCGTGTTTTTTACCAGATATGACAGCTTTTTCACTGTTGTTGACACCAAATGTTTGACTAAATCTGACTTCAGTCCATAGATTGGTCACCAAGAGACAAAGACAGATAAACGGAGAAAAAGACCATAATATCTTATAAAGCTGCTGTTAGCATTTCCATTCATCTTAACCCTGTAAAGCCAGACATATGAAATAGTTTTTAAAAATGGAACAGTTTATTGAACTTTGACAAAATCTAAAAAAAAAAGTCTTTAAAAAATTGTATATGTGTTTTTCTTGAGTACTATATCTGATACATCAGGCTTTTATGGCTCATATAGTGTGATATAGTGAGTATATGGAGCTCATACTTAAGGTGGAAAGAAAGTTGCTGATATTTATATGGCCAACAATTAAGATAAAATTCCGATATAAATCAGTGAGAACAGTATAACAGACTACTTGCATAAAATGCATATAAATATCAGTTGTCACTCTATATTTCCCAATAATATGTCTTAGTAAGATATTTAAATTCCTAGTTTTATGATTAAAGCTCTGTACTTTAAATTGCGGGGAGAAATCATATAATGCAATGCAATACATTGATGACTGAGAGATGAACAAATAAACATTCATCAAAAGCTTGATGTATCATATTTGATATTCACATTTTAACTTAATTTTTGTATGGATAATCAAGTAAACCTAAATTGCGTCAGTCCAGTAAGTGTTCATTTGAAAATATGACTAACAATGTAAAGATTTTTCTTGGGTTTACTTTATAAAAATCAGTAAAGACTTCACAGAAGATGTTTTTAGATTGATACTTGAAGGCCTTTTACTTGCTAAAAAATATGAAATATCGATCAGACAATGGACGGCATTTAGTAGAAACAGGTTTTTCAGCAACGTTTTGATCATGTTAATAATTTAGAGGCCTTAGGAATTTGCATAACACATATGTGACCCTGGAACACAAAACCAGTCACAAGGGTCCATTTTTCGGAAATAAGCTGAATAAATAAGCTTTCCATTGATGTATGGTTTGTTAGGATAGGACAATATTTGGCCGAGATACAACTATTTGAAAATCTGGAATCTGAGGGTGCAAAAAAATCTAAATCTTGAGGAAATCGTCTTTAAAGTTGTCCAAATGAAGATCTTAGCTATGCATATTACTAATCAAAAATTCAGTTTTAATATATTTACAGTAGGAAATTTACAAAATATCTTCATGGAACATGATCTTTACTTAATATCCTAATGATTTTTGGCATAAAAGAAAAATCTATCATTTTGACCTGTACAATGTATTTTTGGCTATTGCTACAAATATACCCCAGCGACTTAAGACTGGTTTTGTGCTCCAGGGTCACATATGATGCAGTAGGCTTTACAGGGTTAATATCAGTGGCTTGTGATTTAAATGTTGCAACAAAAAACACACTTTAGTTTTGATGATTCTTGTGTTTTGGTTATTTTGGGGTTTTGTATGAAAGGTCAATCATTGACCAATTTGAAAATAAGGAGGCAAGCAGGTTAATTATATGACCACATCAGAAAAGTCACGGCTGTATTTATGTATATTCAAAAATCTTTGTGTGTGTTCTTTTTTTCTTTCAGACACAGTAGCCCAGCTGATTCCAGATGAAGGAACTCCCATGTATGCAAGGGTACAGCAGTACCGAGAGCTGCTGGATGGGCTACCTATGGATGCTTACACACATGGATGCATCCTGCACCCAGAACTCACAACCGACTCCATGATCCCAAAGTACGCCACTGCTGAAATACGTAGTAAGTGATGCTACAATTCAGTGCACCATTAATTCCTATTAAAGAACATTTTTCTTTGTGAAATGCACAGAGAGCAAAGCATCTGACTCTTTGCAAAACCTGCTTAGTCTGGGAATCCTTTTATTTCTCAGAAGTGAAGTTTTGAAGCAAATTGCTGTCTCAAATGTTGACAAAATGCTCTAATGCTGGCCTATTTATACAGAGTTCATCGAAAGTGGATCTACAGTACAACGCAAATAAAGCCAAAGAGTTGATCCAGCCAATGAGTTGCAGCTAAATAAATTATGTCACTGAAACCCAGCATAGTTGCAAATAAATCTCTTTTATAGTTCATAACTTGGAGGGAGTTCCTATGATAGGTGTTGTTTATCACAGTCACTGCTGTGATTTTATGCATGAAGTCTTATTCAATTCCTTAATTAGTTGTCAGGAACATTAAAAATTTGCAGAAAATAGGGCCAGTTCACAATGTGCTGGCCGACAATGTTAACTATGAATAACTCATTGTGAAGGAAACACAAAATCTTCTCAGTTTTGGGGGTGTGTGAAAGCTCTTTTACTGAACTACACCATTTGGTCTGATTTCTCTCAGGACATTTGGCCAATGCGGCATCTGAACTGATGAAGTTGGACCATGAAGAACCGCAACTGACAGAACCATACCTCTCCAAGCAGAAAAAGCTCATGGTAAGTCAGCATACATGATGTGTATCACAGGATGGATACTGCTGAAATATGAGATTAAACTGCAGTCATATCTTAATATGAAAATTAAATAATAGATTGTACTTGTCTTGAATACTTTTTTTATTGTAGGCGAAGATCTTGGACCATGACAATGTGAACTACCTGAAAAAAATTCTTGGTGAGTTGGCAATGGTACTAGACCAAGCAGAGGCAGAGCTGGAAAAAAGAAAACTGGAATATCAAGGTAAGTTTTCTGTTCACTTAAAATAAATAACATTAAAATACTAATAAAATAAACTTATTTTTGGTTATTATATTTAAACAAAACAACAAATGAAAACATAATCATAATAAAATAAAATAATCTTATTTAATAAACTTATTTAATTTATTTTTACTAAAAAAATAATATAAGAAAATAATATAAATATTTAATAAATATAATAACCTTATTTTATATTGTTTTATTAAAATACACTAAGGTAAAATAAAATATATTAAAATAAGGTTGTTGTATTTTGTTGCATTTTATTATTAAAATGACCTTGTTTAAATACCTTTTCTTTTTGAAACATGATCTTTGATTAAATATTTCATTATTTTTTATAGGTGCATGGCTAAGGGTTGCCCGACTAAGTATTCATAGTTGTGTAAATACTGTCATACTAACAGCTGTCTGAATAATTTTGGGTTGATTGTAATCTATTACATACCTTTCTATCAAAGTTATCTAACATTATCAAGCTGAATTTGTTCTGACACAGTTTAACTCTGAGTTCTTGTCATATTTTATTACCATTTTCTAAACTATAGCGAATAAACTGTGATAATGTGAGAAATGTTGAAGGTGTCTGAATAAATTTTGGTTTGACTGTATCTATTTGATAAATGAAGTTAACCAACTAACATTATACATACTCTTTTGGTTTCTGTACCCAATATTTAAAAAATTTACAAATGCAATAAAAATATTGGTATCGGTACTCGGTATCGGCAAGTACCAAAAACAAAAGTATCGGTATCGGGCGAGTACTGGAAAAAGTGGTATCGGTGCATCCCTATTATAAGTAAAGTAAAGATATAGTAAAGATTTTTTTTTTGTACAAAAATAAAGGTAACACTTTATTTTAAGGACCAGTTCTCACTATTAACTAGTTGCTTATTAGCATGCATATTATTAGAATATTAGCATTTTATTAGTACTTATAAAGCACATATTAATGCCTTTTTCTGCACGACCATATTTTAGATCCCTTAATACTACCTCATACCTAAACTGAACAACTACCTTACTAATTATTAATAAGCAGCAAATTAAGAGTTTGTTCAGGGAAAACTCTTAATAGTGAATATGTGTTCCCTATTCTAAAGTATTACCTAAATAAATAATTAGTGCTGAATGGCAAATATGTACCAAGAATTTGACAGAAAAAAACAAACAAACTACTTTAAGAACAAATCAATTTATTCTCTAACAAAATGTATGTGAAAACTTGTGAAATATACTTTTGGAAATTCTACAATCCCAAATTGAGCAATCATTATCATTTGTCCCTTATAACTGCTTTTAAAAGCAGAGCTCAGTCAATTATGCACTCTTCTTCTTGGCCTTTCTGTATGACTGTGTTCATTTAAAAAAAAAAAAAACATACATCATAATTATGTATGCTTAAACACAGTTATATATACTATAAACTTTTTGAAGTAAATAAATAATTGCAGTATTATAATCAATAAAAAATCCCAATGAGGAAATACATTACAGGAATTCCATGGTGGCAATACTTACATTTTCTCAATCTACTGTAAAACTATGTTAGATCTTTATCATCTTTCTTTTTTTATGTTTCAAGACAACATAAATTATATGTAGTGCAATTATATGTTGACATACCAAGGGTTATTATTGTAAATTGAAACTATTTCAGCTAGTTGCCAAGGCAACATTTCTCATTTTAATTTAGTTTAACTTGATGTACTAAAATAACTTAAACTGAAATAAAAAGTAATAAAAACTATATGTACATATAAAAAACAAAAACTACTAAAAATGACAAAAACAACAAAATTACTAAAATTTTAAATAGAAATAATAAAAGCTATAATAGTATCTCAATGATACTAAAATAACACTGGCAACATCATGTCATAGAGTGTTAAAGATAACTATATTTGTTTTGTCCATAGCCCTGTGTAAGCAATACAAATGCTAAATCACAATCAGTGTAGTGCACTATATTTTCTCTCACACGGCTGCATGGCTGTGTGTCATTGTGAATGTCTTCGCAGTTTGAGTGTGGGGGTGTTCTCACTGAAGCTCGTCTCTGATCCAAGATCACTCACTCATTTAAGTGATAAGAGCTCAGCTGAGCATGATCACTCAAGCTCAATGAAAGAGATCGAAGCAGACACTTCTGAACTATCTTTTACATTTTAGAGTGTCCAGACACAAATTTATCAGTAATATAGTAATATATTTGATGCATCAATTTGATATGAAACTCGGTTTGCATTTTGAGCACTGACTATTGTTTCAATGTAAGATTTTCAGATTTTGATTTTGAAATGTGTATATATATATATATATATATATATAAAGGAAATTGTTTAAAAATTAAGTTTAAACTAAGTCTGTATGTTAAATGGTTTAGGGCTAAAGTAAATGAAAAATGTAATATTTAGTGTTGGAAGCTGCACGGCGAACATTAAAATAAAGCGTAATTCATTCAGATGACTCTGAATGCATAAAAACCATGTAAACGTGTAAAAATGTGCTTGACAAATTTACTGTACGATTTGCTATTTGCTTGTGTTGTGAATGGTGTTAATGAGTTTATGTCCTAAAGAACAAATTGTGAAAATGCTTGTTCACACGTGTTATGCTACAGGCCAACCCAATTTACAATCGCCATCCACAGCTTTCATTTATATTTTATAATGAGACCTGGTAGATTTTCATGATGTTTGTGCCTTGGTGGTGTGCCAGGGTAACAGAGAGATGTTTGATCCTGTATTTATCGGATGAATTGATCATGGAGAGCTGCAGGTCAGCATGCCGGAGGTGCAGAGCAGTGTAAAATGGGATACCTCTTTGTACCATCCTCTATCTACCCCACACTATAGGCGTGTTTTTTACCAGATATGACAGCTTTTTCACTGTTGTTGACACCAAATGTTTGACTAAATCTGACTTCAGTCCATAGATTGGTCACCAAGAGACAAAGACAGATAAACGGAGAAAAAGACCATAATATCTTATAAAGCTGCTGTTAGCATTTCCATTCATCTTAACCCTGTAAAGCCAGACATATGAAATAGTTTTGAAAAATGGAACAGTTTATTGAACTTTGACAAAATCTAAAAAAAAAAGTCTTTAAAAAATTGTATATGTGTTTTTCTTGAGTACTATATCTGATACATCAGGCTTTTATGGCTCATATAGTGTGATATAGTGAGTATATGGAGCTCATACTTAAGGTGGAAAGAAAGTTGCTGATATTTATATGGCCAACAATTAAGATAAAATTCCGATATAAATCAGTGAGAACAGTATAACAGACTACTTGCATAAAATGCATATAAATATCAGTTGTCACTATATTTCCCAATAATATGTCTTAGTAAGATATTTAAATTCCTAGTTTTATGATTAAAGCTCTGTACTTTAAATTGCGGGGAGAAATCATATAATGCAATGCAATACATTGATGACTGAGAGATGAACAAATAAACATTCATCAAAAGCTTGATGTATCATATTTGATATTCACATTTTAACTTAATTTTTGTATGGATAATCAAGTAAACCTAAATTGCGTCAGTCCAGTAAGTGTTCATTATGACTAATGACTAACAATGTAAAGATTTTTCTTGGGTTTACTTTATAAAAATCAGTAAAGACTTCACGTTTTTAGATTTTAGATTGATACTTGAAGGCCTTTTACTTGCTAAAAAATATGAAATATCGATCAGACAATGGACGGCATTTAGTAGAAACAGGTTTTTCAGCAACGTTTTGATCATGTTAATAATTTAGAGGCCTTAGGAATTTGCATAACACATATGTGACCCTGGACCACAAAACCAGTCACAAGGGTCCATTTTTCGGAAATAAGCTGAATAAATAAGCTTTCCATTGATGTATGGTTTGTTAGAATAGGACAATATTTGGCCGAGATACAACTATTTGAAAATCTGGAATCTGAGGGTGCAAAAAAATCTAAATCTTGAGGAAATCGTCTTTAAAGTTGTCCAAATGAAGATCTTAGCTATGCATATTACTAATCAAAAATTCAGTTTTAATATATTTACAGTAGGAAATTTACAAAATATCTTCATGGAACATGATCTTTACTTAATATCCTAATGATTTTTGGCATAAAAGAAAAATCTATCATTTTGACCTGTACAATGTATTTTTGGCTATTGCTACAAATATACCCCAGCGACTTAAGACTGGTTTTGTGCTCCAGGGTCACATATGATGCAGTAGGCTTTACAGGGTTAATATCAGTGGCTTGTGATTTAAATGTTGCAACAAAAAACACACTTTAGTTTTGATGATTCTTGTGTTTTGGTTATTTTGGGGTTTTGTATGAAAGGTCAATCATTGACCAATTTGAAAATAAGGAGGCAAGCAGGTTAATTATATGACCACATCAGAAAAGTCACGGCTGTATTTATGTATATTCAAAAATCTTTGTGTGTGTTCTTTTTTTCTTTCAGACACAGTAGCCCAGCTGATTCCAGATGAAGGAACTCCCATGTATGCAAGGGTACAGCAGTACCGAGAGCTGCTGGATGGGCTACCTATGGATGCTTACACACATGGATGCATCCTGCACCCTGAACTCACAACCGACTCCATGATCCCAAAGTACGCCACTGCTGAAATACGTAGTAAGTGATGCTACAATTCAGTGCACCATTAATTCCTATTAAAGAACATTTTTCTTTGTGAAATGCACAGAGAGCAAAGCATCTGACTCTTTGCAAAACCTGCTTAGTCTGGGAATCCTTTTATTTCTCAGAAGTGAAGTTTTGAAGCAAATTGCTGTCTCAAATGTTGACAAAATGCTCTAATGCTGGCCTATTTATACAGAGTTCATCGAAAGTGGATCTACAGTACAACGCAAATAAAGCCAAAGAGTTGATCCAGCCAATGAGTTGCAGCTAAATAAATTATGTCACTGAAACCCAGCATAGTTGCAAATAAATCTCTTT